CGATCTCAGCTCATTTGCAAACATTCTTGCTCCAGGTTCAAGCGGATTCTCTTCGCCTTCAATCTTCTAAGTAGCTGGGATTACATGCATGTGTCACCATGCCCGGCTATTTTTGTATTTTTAGTAGAGACGGGGTTTCACCATATTGGTCAGGCTGCCAGGCTTGTCTGGATTCTCCCGACCTCAGGTGATCGCGCCTTGGCTCCCAAATGCTAGGATTACAGGCTTGAGCCATGTGCCTGGCTTCTCACTGCTCTAATGATTCACGCTACAATTTTATGTTGTTTTAAGGAATCATATTTATATTTCTCTGTGATTCTATTTTTGTGATATTCTTTAATTATGTACTGTTGATGTTGGGTGTTGGGTTTTTTTGTTTGTTTGTTTGCTTGCTTAAACAATAGAAATATATTTTCAATTTTTTTTTTTTTTTTTTTTTTTGGGAGAAAAGCTCTGGCTCTATCACCCAGGCTGGAGTGCAGTGGTGCGATCTCAGCTTACTGCAATCTTCACCTCCCAGGCTCAAGCTATCTTCCCACCTCAGTCTCCCAAGTAGCTGGGACCACAGGTGCATGCCACCATGCCTGACTAATTTTTGTGTTTTTTGTAGAGATGGTGTTTTGCCATATTGCCCAGGCTGGTCTCGAGCTTGTGAGCTCAAGCGATCTGCCCGCCTTGGCCTCCCAAAGTGCTAGGATTACAGGCATGAGCCACCATGCCCAGCCTAGAAATATATTTTCTCATTGTCCTGGAGACTAGAGGTTCAAGATCAAAGTGTTAGTAGGATTGGTTCCTTCTGAGGCCTCTCTTCTTGGCTTGCAGATGGCTGTCTTCTTTCTGTGTCTTCCCATGGTCTTCTGTCTGTAGAAATAGTGTTTTTTAATGGAATGTTTTTTTCTCATTAAGTTTCTATCATATAAAGTACTTGTGACATAATGCTCTTAAACATGTCCCTGTTTAAAATTTTTTTTGAGAAATCGCTATATTCTGTGCATCTGTATTTGGTAATACTGTTTATTCACTAAGGTATAATTTCTGGTTCTGAATAACAATACCATTTACCAATTTTAGATGAAATTTATACTGATCCTGGAGTCTAATACATGGTAAAATAACTAAAGCATTAGAAATTTTAGCACGCAGGCCCCAAAGGTATTTTCATTCTAAGCCAGCTAGTATGATAGGTAACTAAAAATGGGTTGGTATAAAATATTTTTTTAATTCTATATTCTGTTTCTTTCTTCCTCCTTAATCCTTTCTTTAAAAAATAACTATAGGTAGCAGTCATAATGAAGCCAACATAAATGAGACTGCTTTCTCTTCATTTTCATTTTCATCTCCAACTGAGCTACTTTTTCTGAGCCAGGCAGCTACTGATGCAGATAGACAGGTGGGATGCAGAGGGTTTCAGCCAAGAGGCCTGTGGTGATGCTTTCCCTCTTCTGAGATGAACTCAAGCCTAGAAACAATGGAAGGGAGCCCTCGTGAAAGATTTGAGGAGCAGGTCACTGAGAGGAAAAAGACTACAACCCAAGAATCCTATATCCATTCAACTTATTCACCAGTCACAGTAAGAAAAGGCTATTTGCAGATGGGCAAAAAGTGAGTGAACATTTGCATCTGCACAACCTATTCAAGAAAAAGGCTTGAGCAATAAATATAAGCAAAGTAAAACTATTTATAAAATACGGATTACTTTTAAAAGTTTGATCAATGTAACAATATATCCCCATAGTTGGAGTTCATCCCTATATTTCATAAATAAAATTTAGCAAGTTACGTCTGCATAGGCAAATATTTTTAGAATCAAATTTCATTTACTGGGTCAAGTATGTTATTTTGGACAATTTTTTTTTAAACGGAATCAAAACTCTATATGCATTTATATCTGTGTGCATTAATTGATTTTATTTCCTGAGTATCCTAGTGGTTTAGTTAGAATGATCCTGAGATTTGGAGTCAGAGTCTTAGTTTTAGTTCATCATTTGCAAGTAGAGGCAAGTTACTAAACTGCTGTTATTTCCTGGTTTTCTTTGTCTTTGAAATATGAATCCTGTATTATAAATTGTTGGAATTATTAGTGAAAAATAAATATATCTTAACGGGTATATTTATTATAAACATTAGCCATCAAGACTTTCCTAGCTGGGCATAGTGGCTCACATCTGTAGTCCTAGCTCTTTGGGAGGCCAAGGTGGGAGGATTACTTGAGGCCAGGAGTTTGAGACCAGCCTGGGCAACATGGTGAGACACCAACTCTATGAAACAACAGAAAAAAGGAGCTGGGTGTGGTGGTGCACACCTGTAGTCCTAGCTACTCAGGGAACTGAGGCAGGAAGATGAGCCCAGGAGTTCAACACTGCAGTGAGCCATGATCACACTACTGCATGTTAGCCTGGGCAACAGAGGGAGACCCAATCTCTTACAAAAAAAAAAAAAGAAGCTTTCCTTAGGAATGGTAGTGACTATATCTTCAAGATAATGATTATAGATGTGGAAATGAAGAAATCTTCCAGGGAGGGAGATTTCATGGGGTAGAAGACTTTGACAGTATTGCTATTAATATTTTATTGAATGTTGGGTATACATTATTATGTATATATTTTCTGTCTTAAGTATTTCTTAATTGGTAACAAAAAAAAAAAAAAATCTTGCTCGTGAAATATCTTAACCAGTAAAATGTCTAGGATTTTTCTATCAAAACACACTACTTACAAGGACACTCTGACGTGTATGCTTCCTAATTCTTCACTTGCTTAGGATCTGCTTGAATCTGGCCCATAAAAGTACTGTATTTACCACATTCTGCACTGGTTTTCATGGTGACTTAAATGCTTGTGAAAAAGTAAAATATTTCATAACCCTGGGCTTGCATTTCTGCATGACCACAATCAGTTGGTGCTGGGTATCAGCTGCTTCCTTTAATTGGGGCATGTGCTTCAGAGTTCTCCACACTTCTCTGTGCTTTCTGATACTAATGTCAAATGTCATTTGCCATTTATCATCATAAATGTGTGCATTAATGGCTTGATACCTGAGACATTTTAGTTTATGACTTTTATATTCAGTAGATATCACAGTCTTCTACTGATACTTTGCTTTGATATTTTAATTTGATGTCACATATTTCCAATACTTCATAACTTTATAAAACATGCTTACATACATTTTCCCTTAAACATATGACATAAAGTACTCTTTATTGGTTGTCATCTCCTCCTTCTCTAGTAACCAATCAGTCCTTTTGTTTTACCAAGTAAATATTTCTCAAATCTGTGTTGTCCTGTTTGACCTTTCTGCTATTGTTTCAGCTCAGGCCCTCCTCTCACCTGAAATTCATTAATTGCCACCTAACTGAGCTCCTTGCCTCTAGACACATTATTTTCAATTCATCCTCAAAAATATTGCTAAAGTGATGTATCAAAGTGCAGATATGATCACATCACCCCTTTGTTTAAAGTTTTTCTAAGTCTCCTCATCTTCCATGGCAGGGGTTGGCACACTTTTTCTTTAAGGTCCAGATAGATACTTTAGACTTTGTTGGTCCTAAGATTCCTGCTACAAATAATGAACTCCTATTGGTGAGTTGATCGCAAAAGCCAGTAGGCACTATGTAAACAAATGGCATGACCTATGTCCCAGTAAAACTTATTTACGAAACCAGGCCACTGGTCCAGGTCTATAGTCTCTTAATCCCTGTTCTGTGATATAAAAGATTCTCCCAGTTTCTCACTTGTCTCATCTACCACTCTTCAATCTTGTTTCCTGTAGGTTTTTCAGAAGGACCATTCAAATTCTTAAACTTTTCTGAGCACAACATCGTCTTTCTATATCCAGTTATTTATTTTATGCAAGCTGGGTTTCTTTTTACAAATAGCAAAATATTCTAGTGTATCACATAAATTATGAATTTTGAAGTGATATGCATATATAAAATGGGGTTATTTTGTTTATTGCAGACAACTTTATAAATATAAGGTTTGAAGTCTCAAGTATGGACAACTGTTTTTTTTAACAGGTCTTTAGTAAAAAGTCATAGTCTTGACATAATTCATGATATAATTCGTTGTTTAATATGTTATCCAAAAATCTCAGAGTGCAGTTGCTGGTAGGAAATTAGTTTAGTTTCTTTTTCTTTTCTTTTCTTTCTTTTTTTTTTTAATGAAATCTCACTCTATTGCCAGGCTGGAGTGCAGCGGCGCGATCTTGGCTCACTGCAACCTCCCAGGTTCAAGCAATTCTCCTGCCCCAGCCTTCCAAGTAGCTGGGACTTTAGGTGCCTGCCACCATGCCCAGCTAATTTTTGTATTTTTCGCAGAGACAGGGTTTCACCATGTTGGCCAGGATGGTCTCGATCTCTCGACCTCGTGATCCACCCACCTCGGCCTCCCAAAGTGTTGGAATTACAGGCGTCAGCCACTGAGCCCGGCTGGAAATTAGTTTAGTTTCATTGTTATCAACTGTATTGAATCAAGGTTCACTGAAAAAACAATTTTAGGACAGTTCATAGGAGTTGGAAGCATATAAGCCAAATTGTGTCCTATCTTCATCACAGTTGTTCCTTTAAATTCCAGTTAGGAAAGCAGAAAATTGGTTTTAGAGTCTGACTTGCCTGAAATATTGAACTTAAAGGTTGCTATTTAAATTCTCATAGACTGCTTGCCTGTTTCTATGTGCAAAGAAATAACACAATGTAAGAATATGTTGTTAAATGTGTGTGCTTTGCCTTGTTATTAAATTTCAGTTAATTATGTTATTGTAATTGGTACAATGTTGGATAGTAAGCAAAACTTTTTCCAGGAAAAAAAAATGAAAGCAACTTATCATTGTTGCATCATATAGACAAATGCAAGATGTGATGGGTTTTAATATAAATTATGTTAAAGCTCTTTAAATTTCCTAATATTTGCAAACAAATGCATTCATTTAAAACTCCGTCTATTAAAACTGATCTGTAAATGTCTTGTATGGTTGATTTTTTTTTTTTTCTTCTTTTTTAGCCACCAGCTGAACAGGCTAAAGCCAGACTTCAGCTGGTTCTTGAAGCTGCTGGTAAGTGTTGATAATTAACTTTTATTAAATGAAGAAGTGACAGGTAAACCCTAGGCTGGTAGCATGCTTAGAAATGAGTCAAAAAGAAAACTATTTTTATATATCCTCACAAATTTATCAGATCTAGATTATATGTATGGCCATATATTATCTGAAATATTTATTGCTGCAGTATAATGCTAAGTGTATTGCTAACAGGTCATTCTTTACCTTTTCATTTATAAAATTGGCTTCAGTTTTAGTTTTTTATTTTGACGAAGCCCAGTTGATTAATTTGTCTTTTATGTACTATGGTTTTGGTGACATGTTTAAGAATTCTTTGACAAATCCCAGATTATGATTTTTTTCTTACATTTTCTTTCTTTTGAAAGAAAAATTAAATGGAGTCTTAAATGTAACGTGTAAAACCATAAAACTTTATATTTTATGGCTTTTATTTATATAAAATATAACTTTATATTTTATGGTTTTGCACGTTGCGTTTGAGACTAACTCTTCCATTTTAATTTTTTAAATAAGGTGTAAAGTTTAGGTTGAGATTGTCATTATTCTAAAGAAAATGAGATCAGTGTCATTTAGTAATTTCCCCAGTTACATTGGACTAACTCACTGGACTGTAAGTTCTGGATACCATGTACTCTTTAAGTGCTGTATGTGTTATTTCTCAATGGTACTGTAATGCTTTGACTTTGATTTTAGATATCATGTTCACTTGCACGTAGACACTAAATACTTTACTTTTTAAAAACATATAAGATCTATATTTTCTGAGTACTGATATTTTACTTTGAATCTTAATGTGCTCTTCAAAAATGTATATAACTTATTCAAACAATAAGTCGTAATGAGTAGTACAGTAGTCCTCTCTTATACATGGTGGATATCTTCCAAGCGTCCAGTTGATGTCTCAAACCATGGGTAGTACAAAACCCTGTATCTATATCTATACTTATCTATCATGTCTAATTTATATCTGTATCTGGATAAACACATACATATACACATGCTGTATTTTTTCCTATACGTACATACCTATGATGAAGTTTAATTTATAAATTAGGTAAGAGATCAATAATGATAGTAAAATGGAACAATTATAATAATATACTTTAATAAATATAAATGTGGTTTCTTTCTCTTTGTCTCAAAATATCTTGTACTATAATCACCTATTTTTGGACCACAGTTGACCGCAGGTAACTGAAACTACAGAAAATGAAACTGCAGCTGCATATAATGGGGGACTACTGTATATATTTCTTAAAATTTTTTACTATACAGAGCTCATAATTTCCAGCTGGAAAAATTAGAACTCTATTTTAACATCAAAAGTTAATATCAGACCACCAAATGATAGTAGTTATGTTTTTAGGATTCATTGATCAAGAAAATACATATGTGCATATTGATTCAAGGATCTCTTGCATTAGCTCTTTGTGTTCTCATTTAAAGTGTACACAGTCTAAAGATTGGGAAGTCCAGTATGAACGATATACTAGCTTCCTGAATTACTAATAGAAGTAACTTACCATATAGGTAAAAAGATTGACAAGTGTTTTAGTTTTGATGAAGTGTCTCTGTACTCCTCCTTATTACTCTAAAAATAATTTATAGTTTATGTTTTTATCTTATTTGTTTTATCTTTAGAAAACATTACTTACTAAAATTTTGTTGTTAATTTTTTTTATATTTTCACTCAAATAAAATATACTGTAGGATGTCTAATTAATTTGATTCTTTATCATTTACATAATATGCATTTTGCTTTGAAAAAATATTTCCAGCTCATAATTGAGTATTCCAGCTCATAATTGAATAAACCCTTGCTTTGAAGGAAAATATTTATGTTGCCTAGCGCAGAAAACATTTATTTCCACAAATGCAATTTTAAATAATTTTATTTCATAGTTTTATTCAGTTTAAAAAAATATTTAGCATGATTTTGAAGTACATTAGAAAATAGATGTGATACTCCAGACCTCACAGTGTATAACTTGCTTATATCCATCTGAATTGTCATCCCTCTCATTTAACTTTAACGTTCTAAATTGTACCTAAGGATAAAGAGCTAGATTCTGTGAATTTGAGAAACGTCCAAAATTATGACAATTTTCAATTTAAAAAATTTATTTTGGCCTAGGTCTAGATAAGCAAAAGACAGACCTTAGCTAAATGTTCGGTTTTTTAAGTCACTCTTTTTTATTGAATATTTATGTTGTTCATCTTTTCTCTCTTACCAGTAACACTGTAATGAACATCCTCTTATACATTGTGTTAGTCATATTTTATTTTATTCTAGGGGAGATTTGTTACTATAGAAATGAGTTTGTGAGGTCAGAGGGTATTAACATTTTCGGCTGGTCCAAAAGTAATTGCGGTTTTGGCTAAACCTCAGTTACTTTTGCACCAATTTAATAGAATGGCTTTTTGTACATTTTTGCTGAATTGTTTTATAAAGCTTTGTGCTCCTTTTCATTGCCACTGGTTAAGTAATCGTTTTACTAGAATTGCTTTTTGATACCAGTTCCGTGAATATATTGCTGTATAATATGATATAACATATTACACCTTTTTGAAAAATACCGTTTTATTTTTAATGAGAACTTGTGACATAGTAGAGGGCAAGTAGATGGATAGGTAGTGGACGAGTACATAGGCAACTTACTGTCAAGGTTCTAGTTCTCTTTTTGGTGTTGAGTTTTAAGGTGTTCATTATATTGTTAAAAATAAGCAAATAAATAAGAAGAACTTGAGACCTGTCTGGTAAGTTTTGCAGTCCAGCCTAGTCTCAAGGTTGAGATAAATGGATAGGGAAGTCTAGTAGTAGCCATTGTCACACTGGAGTTCACTTAGGTTCCTAGGAAAAACACCTTGATTTGGGGACCTTAAAAGTGGGCATGGGCAAAGACTTCAGGCCTTATGCTAGATTCTTGAGGCAGGATTAATTTTAGCCTTACAAGCAGCATAACTTGATAGATAAGGTTCATATGTAGAGATCCTTCTGATTAGACTTAGTTGTTTACTCTAGCTCTGAGTCCCAGAAGAAAGTTTTATGTTTAACTATTGCATTGTAATTGATTATATTAGTAAATGTTAATAATGTTACTGGTTTGGAATTAAAATCTCTTTCGAATATTTAGCCATGATTTTTAGTGATGTGACTCTGAAAGTCCATATGAAGAACTAAAATAAGATTAAACATGTAACTATAGGGTGTTATGATTATTATATCAAACAAATTTGAGTCTGAGATTTTATTGTATTTGGGTTAGGATCATACTTTATATGTGCTAAACTATTGCATATTTGTACTTTGGTTCAAAACCTTGAACATTTTATCTTTGACTCTTTTATAGGCAGTAATTCACCTAGACTTAATGATTCTGATTTTGAAAAATTTTTTGTATTTATGCCTTTATTGTGTCTCCCACTGCCATCTCTTTAGTCTAGATGCCAAACATTTCGCTCACGGCTTATTCCATTACCTCCTAATTGGCTTCCTGCTTCAATTCTATTACTTCTCTAGAGAGACACTAATGAATAGTGGAAAGATCCTAAGCCTGCCATCACCACTTGCTCTGTAACTTTGAGCAATTTAATGTTTATTGTTTAGCCAGAACAGAGGGTTTTTTTAATCAAATATGACAGATGTGTGTTTTTTTCTAGTTCATTGAGGTGAAATTTACATAACATAAAATTTATTATAATTGCTTAAAGTGAACAATTCAGTGGCATTTAGTACATTCACAGTGTTGTACAACCATCTACTCTATCTAGTTCTAAACAACGCCATCACTCCAGAGTGAAACCCCTTACCTACTAACAATTTCTCCCCACGTTCCTTTCCCCCAAGCCCTTGACAACCACCATTCTCCCTCTGTCTCTATTTGTCTATTCTGGACATTTCATATAAATGGAATCCTACAATATGTGACCTTGTGTGTCTGGCTTCCTTCATTTACTATGTTTTGAAGATACAGACACATAATATATCAGTACTTCATACTTTTTTATTGCTAAATAATATGTTATTTATACACACACACACACACACACACAACTTGTTTATCCATTAATGGAAATTTGGGTTTTTTCTACCTTTGTTCTATTGTGAGTACATTTGAATATGTGTGTATATGTACTTGTTTTGAGTACCTGTTTGGAGGTTTTTTAGGTATATACCTAGAAGGGTGATGGTGGGGTCATTTGGTAATTCTATGTTTAATTTTCTGAGAAACCACAAAACATTTTCCACAGCAGCTGAACCATTTTACTTTCCCACCAATAGCAGTGTATAAAACAGTTCCCCCTATTGCCTCAACTACACCATATCACACATTGAAGTTACCTATTTGAAAGTATTTGTATTTGGGGGCTTCTCTTTCCCATAATTTCTTCATCTGTAAGAGGGAAAGATAATAACTACCATGTAGGGCTGTTATGAAAATAATAACACATGAAATACCTAGCCCAGAGCCTGAAAAGTGGTAGCCACCAGAAAATGTGTATTTCATCTTGATTTTTGTGGACACCACTGCCAGATGATTCTTTGGTGTTATTGGATCTTTGGGTTGTTGCTTTTCTGGCCAGAAAACTCTGTGTGGCTGCTGCAACAGAGCAGGTAGCAGCACGGGCACCAGCTCTCTGAGAGGCTGTGGCTGGACCAGGCACACTACAAGCAGCTTCCACAACTGGCAACCAGGAACACGGTGGCACCTGGAAGCTTGAAGATCCCGGGAACTGCAGGGTCCCAAGGAGGGAGCCACAGTCCTGGTTCTAGGAGCTTCTGGATCTGAGCTCCCCAAAGCTCCACAGCTCTTCTCTCCTTCTCTTTGCCTGCAACATGGTGAGCAAGGAGCATGTCTCAGTCCTGTTTGTGTTATAGCTCTTTTAGCCTCCCTATTCATTGGGTCCTGAGTTCTTGTCCTGCAACCAGGAAGAATTAGGTGCACAGACAAGTGGAGGGTGAGCAAGATGAAGAGGAGCTTTGTTGAGCAATA